TAAAATTCCTATATAAAAATACACGCAACAAGGAAAATTAGAGTAAAATTCTCTATATAAAAATACACGCAAAAGGAAAATTTTCTCTAAATAAAGAGAATAGGGAGAGTATATAAATACAAATAAGAGAGCAAATTTATTTTAACGATAAACTAAAGCAATTAATAAAATTTAATTATATAATAAAAAATAAACAAGTTGTTAACTCCTTTTGAATGTAATCTGATGTGGATTTTTGTTCAAACTGTTATAAAATAATATAAAATTAGAGAAAAGAAAGAGAAGAAATAGAGAGCAAAATATGGAGAATACGAGAGTGTGTTTATTATTGATGAGAAGCCACATATATGTAGTTACATAAGTGAAACTCTAATAGAGTCCTACATAAATCAAGAAGATAGAGTTCGTAATAATTTGCATTCAAACTTCTAGCCCATATAGGATATCCACTTATTTCATAACACTCCCCTCTGGATATCTATTCTTCAAAAATAGACAGCCATTAATTTATTAAACGCATTTAGAATTTTTATAAATTGCCAGACTAATCAAATATTAAATTATAATTATATCCACCACATGAAGGCATTTATCCTCATAATCAATGCCGGGTCTTTGCTGGAAAAAAAATATGTGCAACAAGTTTGCTTTATATTTTATGACCCATTTCAATTTCGCACAAATACATATTTGTATTCTACTGGCTTAACATCCCTTGATGCCCATATTAAATTTTCAAAATTTACTTTTCAAATAAATTAAATATCATGTGTCGTTCCATTTTTGGCCTATCAATTCTATGTCTATGTTCCCCCATAGATAATACTCAATATCCTCATTTCTTTCATAATATCAAGTGATATACTATATACAAAAATATCGTCGATGTTTATTTTTATATTGGTTCCATCTTATCTTAACACAACATAATTTGTAGAGATTTCATAATCTTCGTTGATTTTATGTACCTATGTTTCTTTGGGAAACTTATTAGTCATGTTTAGGATTTCTTGTAGAACTTGCTTTCTAGAAATTGACTATCTTGAATATATGCTCCTTTTTTTTCATTTTTTTTTAATCTTTGGATTTGATCTACCATGCTTCAGGCATGCCATAGATTCATTAGCACAGTTTGTTCTTCAGGGACTTCAATTCTAGCAGGAGCATTTGCAGCTAGTGTATGAGATTTAATTATCTCCCTTTTGGATTAGTAAATATACCTAGAAACTAATTTGCAATATTTTATAAATGAATTATCTTTTAAATTTTTAAATGTACACTGCCTTACATGAGGATCAAAATATAATAACAATAATTTTTTCCAATCAATTATTCTTCTGGCTGCTTATTTTTTTCCCTAATGTCGGAAACCATAATAATTAGCAAATTTGGCGATATATAACTTTCTTATTTGAAAATTCTAGATATTTAATCATAGAAATAAATCAATACCTGACATATATTTCTAATCTCATTTGATGACCCATCTTAGTGCATTGTGGTGGAGCAATTAGAATATATGATGCACATTTAAAATTCCTCGATCGGTAATATTTGATTTCTGATCCAAAAACCAATTATAAATGGGAGAACTTATAATAACTTATTGGCTTGATGCGAGTAAGTGCTATTAAATTTAATAGCATGTCCCTCTAAAATGTAGGGAGATTCGTTCTCATAATAATTGTCTTGCAATTAATTGCAATCATTTATAAGTGATTCTACTAAATCATTTTCTAGCATAAATAAAAGCAACAATAGGTTGCCCTAAATTATTTCAATTAACACATGTCATAATCATTAAAGGCCTGATGTGTAAATTCACCATCATTCTCAATGTAAAATTCAACCATCATTCCTCAGATAAATTAGCTTTTAATAGCATTATGATGTGTAAATTCACCATCATTCTCAAGATAAATTAGCTTAATAGCATTATCTGAAAATTATATTCTTCATCAAATTATTTGCGCAAATAATCATACAAATTTCTAGTTGGATCTTGACAATAATCTTTGCAAACTTCAGGTTGCAAGTTAATTATAATCATGTAATTATCTTTTGAATACATCCATAATATATCTAAATAAATTGATCAATAATTTATCATCATATATTCTAGAAAATACAAACAGTTCAATTTGAACTCTTGGTGATTGCTCAATAATTAATTTATTTTGAGAATAAATTAAGCATGAATAATTCAATAAATTCGAAGAAACTTCTGGTTCTTCAATAAATATCCATATAAGGATCAAATTTTTTCTTTTTCACATCATTATTGATCAGGATGATCCAATCGATCATGCCATATAATAAAATACTTTGATTTGCAAACTTCTGGTTTACATCCATATTTATTTAAATCATTATCTATATAGATTTTAATGAATATATTTGAAAAAATGCATTATGCATAAAATTCATTCTTTTAGGTAGTAATACTTGCTCTTCTAAAGCCTTTAAATATTTTCTTTTTTACTACCAAAGCCAAATTTGC